TAAATCACGCTATATATCTCTCTATTTAATTTTTTTCTCTTTCAAAATTTTCTTTAAAATATAAATCTTTTTTTAATTTTCTCTTTCCTTCACCACCAGAAAATAATTTTACAAAATAATTCGTGAACACATATCAACTTCGTAAAATAATCAAAAAATCAAAACAAAAACCAAGACTATAATAATCATGCAAACGAATACAGAGGATTGTTATTGGGCATTACTATCCAGAAAAGATTTTAGCTTCTTGTACTTGTCACCTTGGTTGTCGAACAATTTGAAAAATGAATCATCAGATTTATTATTGGGAACTTCTCTTTTCGACTACTTTCGTCCTGATGAAAAGATGTTGGCTCAAAAAGATTTGACTAGAGTTAATAATAATAAATTATCGCTTTCCATCACAAGGTAAAACATGTTAAACATACATGATGAAAACGTAAAGTAATTTGATGCCAAAATAAAACTTCAATGAACGCGTTTTCATTTTCATTTTGCTTTTTTTTCCTTTAGATGTCACTTTAGCACCATTTCTAAAATCAAAAGAAAATTGAACTTAAAATTCTCGTCTTTTTCGCCAACAACAAGTACATTCAACAACAACAACAATAACAACAACAATATTATTAACATCAATCATGGTTACCCCTACTCTTCTTCCTCGACCTCTTCTTCTTCCTCCTCGTCACCACAAATTCGTCCAATCAGCACAACTGCTCTTGATTTATCATCATCAACTAATGTTGATGAATATATTGTTATGGATATCGGAATCTCTCTTGTTAGTCATGATATCATTTTAGCATGTTTTCATTCTGACGATGGTAAATATTCTCTACTACCATCATTACTATTATTATTATTGTTATCATTATTGTTATCATTATTGTTGTTGTTATTGTATTGTAATCATTATTTCTCTTCTCCTCAATCAATAAGGTCGAGTACATAATGGTGATAAATGTAGTTGCGGTGAATCTTTTGAATTCACTCAAAAAGTGAGTCTTTTTATAAATGATAATGAGATAACATGACTTCTTTTGTCCTTTGTCATCCTAACAAATTATTCATCCATTATATAATAGACAATAGATGAATTAAACAAATGTTTAAATAATAAAAATTCATCGTCACCAAATGGTCCAGCAATCAAATTCACAACTCCTCCTTCAACACCACATTCCGAAAAATTCTTTTCCGGGAATAATCCATTGTTTCCACCGCCACCACCTTCATTAGATCCATCATTGACATTTACAAAATATTTTTCCCATCCTTGTGGTAGAATTTTGTCATCAAGGGCATAACCTGAAAATTTAATTTTAAGAATCGAATAAATAAATAAATAAATAAATATTAAATCAAATTGGGGTCTTTTTAATATTTAAAAAATAAAGAGACAGACAAATAAAACTAACCATGATTTTGTGATGTGATGATACACTTGTTGGTTCTGACATTAAGAGCCGGAACATTATGACCTCTGTTCCCGAACCGGAGCTTATAGACGGGGAGACCCGCAGCCATTCCTAGTAACAGATTTCCCATACAGATTCCAAAGATTGGTTTTTTATATGTGTCTAAAGCTATACGAAGATTCTCCACTGTTTTTAAGACTTTGGTTGGATCACCGGGGCCATTGCTGATGAAGATACCATCAAATTGGTTGGAAATTTTATTAAAGTCAAAGTCCCATGGAAGAACAGTGACAGAGACACCCTTTTCGACAAGGCATCTCAAGATATTGGTCTTTATACCACAGTCTATATATTAGATAAATAAATAAGATTAATATTATAATTAACATGATATTGCTAGCAATTATTATTTAATACCCAAAGTAATGAGAAGTAAATGCAAACCTATAACAGCTATTTTAATATCGCCAAATGGATTGTACGATACAGGAATCTCTGTGCTAACTTCTTGGACCAAATTTTTTTTATTTGGGTCTTCGTAATCAATTTTTGAAAAGTTATGGGTATTTGCATCTTCACCAACGACCAATTTAGCCAAAGTGGAACCTTTATTTCTTAAAATATGAACAATGGCACGAGTGTCTACTCCTGATATAGCAGGTACACCGTGACGAGCACACCATTCACCGAGTGATTCTACCGCTGTCCAATGTGAATATCTTTCCGCGTAGTCATTGACAACTATTGCCTTGCACTGAATTCGGTCCGATTCGAAATATTTCAAGAGACCATATTGGTCCTTGAATATTCCTGGAACACCGTAATTACCGATTAATGGTTGAGTGAACACCAATATTTGGCCACGGTACGAGGGATCAGTCATTGATTCAGGATATCCGACCAACGAAGTGGTGAAAACAGCTTCACCAGAAACAGGAGTTTGAGCACCAAATGAAACTCCTTGAAATATTTGACCGTCTTTTAATTTTAATGCAGCGGCGATTGGTCTATCAACAATGTTGGCATATGGAGCAGGTGGTGGTTTATTGAGAATGAATGACTTGTCGGTCACAGTTGCTAAGTTGCGTGAGGCAGTTAAAATTTTGAATGCATTAAGCGATTTTGTAGTAGTTGTAGTGGTGAAGAAAATTGATGTTGAGAGTCTGTTACGACTAGAAAGAATAGGTTTTGATAACATGTGCATCTTGATGTTGTTGTAGTTGTTGTTATTATTATTATTATTATTATATTATTATTATTATTATTATTATTATTATTATTATTTTTAATGTGAATGAGTTGTTTGTCGATAGTTGAAAATTTATTTAATAATTGTAATTGTTGTGTGGTTATTAATTAATTAATATTATATGGTGTTTAATAAGTTTATAACAAATAATTATTTATATTCCGGTTGAAGAAGATTTCCAAACTATTACTTTTTCGATTAATAAAACTATTTAATTTCTTTGATAAATAAAGAATTATTACTTTTCCGAT